CCTTTTCCCCTGGGTGGGTGCACGGCAAATTGCGACCCCCTTGACATTTGTGTGAAATTGTCTGGCCCCCTCCTGGGCACCACTTCCTCCATGCCACTTCTCCAGTCCCTTGGAGAATTCCGTGCAAATGTCAAGGGGGTCGCAATTTACTGTGCACTCACCCAGGGGAAAAGGGTTGCAACTTGTTTTTGCAACATATTGCTGGGTGTCAGGAGAGAGAGAGAGAGAGAGAGAGAGAGAGAGAGAGAGAGAGAGAGAGAGAGAGAGAGAGAGAGATTGGGGTTGATAGAGACAGGGGAAATTGCGGGTGAAAGGTGGGTGTCACAAAAGAGGGAAAATAAAGAATGGAAGGTGGAGGAAGTGATGCATGAGAGACTGGAGTGGAGTGCAATTTTTTGCAGTTTCCCAGCGGGCTGTGGCAATAACTGGGACCATTTTGCAATTTTTCAGAGTTTTGGATTCTAACAGGTAACTGAAACAGGCCTAAGCCGACAGAGACCTCTCTGCAAATTCTCTAAACTACTGCAGGAACGGGCCCTACTGGGCCTACACGTCGTTCAGGCCTGAACTGACCTCAACTGACTGTTGATTTACTTCCGCCTCAAACTGGTACCGTTGTTACTGAAAAGATAGACCCATAACTGTTAGTTGGTCTACCTTTTCCCCAGGCCGGTATGGTTATTACTGGAAAACCAGACCCATAACTGTTAGTTAGTCTCTCAGGTCCTGGGCAGTCCAGTCCGATCGGCTAGTGTCGAAGTAAGAATAAAGTAGGTCTGAAGTGTTAGCTCTTTTTGGTGGAGCAGTTGTTTAGTGCTCTTGACGCGGCCAGGCTGCTGGAGCAGCGATGTAGCTGGGCACAGCCGCTGCTAGTAAAAGGGCCTTTACCCAATGCAGCCCCTGATTGACGAAAGCAGCGTATTGGGGTCCCTCGCCCAGAGCTCAACTCGTGAAAGCAGATCGAAAGACATGTTCTCCGAGTCAAAGGTCACATCCTAACTAAAGCAAAAGACATTGTCAAAGGTCATGTTTGTGTCCCTGGACGAACAGTTGCAACATCTGTTCATCCAGGGGGTGTGCAAGTCATGTCTATCCATGCAGAGATGTGTCTGTACGTGCAGTCAATGTGTCTGTTCGTGCAGTAAAAGTGTCTGTTCATCCAAAAGATGTGTCTGTCTAAAAAGAAATCAAAGAGTTAAGTCTCAGTCCCAATTCGAGTCAGCGGGGCAGTCTAGATACAGATAGGCAGTCCGAAATTGAGGCCTACAGGCCGCAGCAGCAGCAACCCTTGAAGGGCAGGGAGTCTGGGACACATACACCGAGGCTGGGACTGGGAAAGGACCCAAGACAGACCGAATTCAGCCCTCGTTTGGGGAGGCCAGCACTATAAGAAACAAGACTGCCTCCCCACAACACAGATTTCCACTGGCATTTGATGCGTGGAAGTGCTGCGGCACTTGTGCGCTAGCTGGCTGGACAGGTGCTGGCTGAAGTTGAGCTGCGCCAGGAAGAAGGGAGGCTGGGCGCTGGCTGCAGGGAAGCCATAGCTGCGCCATCTTATGTTAGCAGTAGAGAGTTAGTCAGTAGGACAACAGTGAGTGACATTCAAAGTAGATCTTCATAGGTGAGAGTGTGCATGCAGAGAGAAAGAGAGAACCAAGACATAGTTCTAGAGAAAGAGAGAAGAGATCAGGGAGAGAGAGAAGACAGGAGGTGACATTTGACTGCTGGCGCCATATCTGTAATCCGAAGAAGGGTGCTGGCTGAGCCAGACCCCATGCTGTTGTATGATGAGAGAGACTATCTTTTGTTGGCGCTGAATTCTGGAACTCATGATACTCTTTGTATTAAGTGACATTGTTAATATAAGCTGCGCTACTGGGTTCATTTCTCATCTCAATCTGGTTTTGAGTGGAGCCACTTTGTACGTGTGATGACATGTATGCATGCGGTGTGATGCTCTCAAGCAAGCTGTGAACAGTCAGGTTCCTTGCACTAGGGTTTGAGCGGCAGTGAAGCAGGTGCTTCATTTGCTGGGTATGCCGACACCATATCTGTGCAGTGGGGTTGGGCCCTGGCATATCTTTTACTTTGTGGCAGCTGTTCTTCCTCTTCTTCAAGCTGGAGGTTCCTTCTTCATTCTGAAGCTGGCGCTGCATATTCTGGGTGGCCCTTGGCCCAGCGCTGGAGCATCTGAGTTTTGTCTGGGTTGCGCAGGTGCTGCTGAGACCGTAGGAGTAAGGCACTGGTTGTCTGCAAGGATTAGGGCTGGGAGCTGTGCTGGGCTGCGCGCTATAGCCGGCTGTGTGGAGGATGAGGGAGGAGGAAGGCGCTAGAGGCTTGAAGCGTGGTTCTGAGTTTGTTCAAGGTGGTCTATTCTCGATTGAGATCATTGGGTTCTTTGTGGTGCTGATTGAGCTGGAGAGACGCGAGGGACTATGAATTGCTAACTTTCAATTCTTCTGGACTTTTTGGCTTCCGCTGTGCATGTCTTAATCTCTTTTCGTGTGAATTCCCTCTCCATATCTACTTTGACATCTTGGCATGCGTTCGGGAACATGTTGAGGCTCTGCTTAATTGCGTTTCAATAAGTCACATAACATGGAGAACTCGTTTGGCAATTTCTTGTCCAAGGTATTGCTATCCTGTTCAGCAGCCACTGTTACAGATCATATTGTGTTTGTAATTTTGTACCATAGCGGGCACGTCAATGGGCTTGTTTCCGGTCTTTGGGTTGGATATAATCTTACGAGTGATGTTGGTATTTGGTGGGTACATGCATGGTTGCAGGCATTTCCATGGGAGAGTTTGCCTATACTCAGGGGTCAGCGAGTATATCGCCTTCCATCCTTGGGAAGCATCTTGGCATTGCTGGCACAGCAGAGAATTTCCAGTGCTTTCGATAACAGTATGGAGGGATTGTCTCATGGAACAGTTCATTCACTGAATGCCGAGCAGTCCAGGGAGAAGGGAGCTGTCAGTGCGAATCCTGACCAAACACTGGGGGGGTGTCCAAATGACAATGGTGGCATGGGGAAGAAAAGGTCTCAAGCCGACGACTGTTGTCAACATTCTATGGAGTCCCAGGCTAGCTTTGCAGATCTGGTAAATATCGCACCAGTTATTGACCCGGAAAACACGTACTATGTTTTGAATCCAAGTGGAGACCTGCAAGCAACACAAGCTACCTTTGAAAAGTTGTTTAATCAGCAGTATGGCTGGGAGGTGAGCTCTCTCTCTC